TCTATGTAAAAAGGGCAGAAAAGAAAATAAAAAAGACCAACATGATTGTCAGTAGAAACTCTGAAACTTCTTCTAGGACATAGGGAATTTAAAGCAGAAGGAAGAAATGATAATAGAACAGAACTAAAGAGATGATTTCAAAATTCAGCCAGAAAATACAAAGTATTGTAACAAATGTGTACAGACCTGCTGTTAGAAGGCCAAAATAATGATTTTTTTGCAATATTTTATGTGCATGTGGTATTAATAATGGTGTTCAATTACTAGAATATGGCTGGAGAAATAGTAATTGCTTATATATTTATATATGTAAAAGGATTAATATTTTAATTTCCTGGCTGCTGGTGCCAAGAGTATTGCCCTCCATACCTTTTCAATCTATATGCAGAACAGATTATCTGGGAGGCTGGGCTCTGTGAGGAGAAATGTGGCATCAAGATTAGAGGAAGACTCTTCAGCAATCTGTGTTACACAGATGACACAACCCTGATTGCTGAAACTGAGGAAGACCTGAACCACTTGCTTCAGAAGGTCAAGGACTGCAGCCTCCAATATGGACTGAAGCTCAATATCAAGAAAACAAAGATTCTCACCACTGGGCCGATTGGCAGCATCATGATAGATGGTGAAGAGAGATTGATATTGTTAGCAGTGTTAGTTTGCTTGGCTCCACAATCAACACTCTTGGCATTAGCAGTTAGGAATCAATGGGATACTAATTAAATTGTTTTGATTAATAGACACAGCCCTAGATAGACTCACTACTCTATGCCAGGAAATTTAAAGGACAGCTGTCTGGCCAATGATTTGGAAGAGGTATATATTTGTTTCTATTCCCAAGAAAGTTTGATCCAACAGAATGCAAAAACTATAGAACAATGTCATTAATATCATATGGAAACAAAATAATTCTGAAGGTCATTAAAAAATGGCTAGAACAGTACATAGATAGGGAACTGCCATAAATTCAAACAGGATTTAGAAGAGGCTGTGGCACCAGGGATATCATTGCTGATGTCATACTTTTAGCCAGGATCCATCTGACATTTTAGTCCTTGCTTTTAGCAAGCAATGTTTTTTTATCTGTATAACACAGGTTGTGATGAATCATCTTTTTCTGATCTTGATGTCATATTCTTGTTCAAAGAGTACAGCTTCTTGGAGGATTTGTTTTATATTACAGATTGGATAAGTATGGAGGAAGGAGATGGCTCTGATGAACACCTTTCCTGATTTTAGACGATGTGTGTTCTTTTTCTCTATTAATATAAAAAACTTTTTGATCTAAATTTGGATATAGTATGAGCACAAGTAAGTGTTTTGAGATTCCAATTCTTTTAAATGTCAGCCATAATTTGTTACGATCCACACAGGAGGGAGTTCTTCTCTGGTGCCTTTAATGGTAACAAGTTGTGTTGCCAAAACAAGGCACCTAGTTAGAAGCCATCAGCTGTTCCATGGCACAAAGATGGACAATCTCCTTCCACACAATTAACTGCCTCTGAAAACTTGCTGGGAAGGGTTTTTGTGTTGTGTTTTTTTTTTAACTCTATGGTATACAACAATAAACAACAGAAGGTAAAGGCCATGTCCTCAGAGACTTAAGGTAGGGCTTAATGTTACCCACATTAAGTCTCCATTGTATGAAGCTCTAGTACTTTCAAAAAGTGTTTCTTCAGGGCAAACCATCCCTTTGGGCTATCCATTTAAGCCTTAATGGAAGGTAGACATACACACTTACACACAAACAAAATACTGCTGAAAATAATTCCAAAATAGCAAAAACAATACATTGATAAAAAACTGCTAGAAATTCAAGCTGAGTTTAGAAGAGGGCTTGGCATCAGAGATACCATTGCTGTTGTCAAAGAGATTCTGGCTAAATGCAGAGAATAATTGCAGAATGTATATTTGTGTTTTATTGATTATGCAGAGGTATTTGGCTGTGTGGATCATAACAAACTATGTCTAAGAGTGGGAAAAATTGAAATCCCAGAACACTTAATTGTACTCATATGAAATTAATACCTATATCAGAAAACTATTGTCCTCACAGAGCAAAGCAACATGGCATGGTTTAAAATTGAGAAAGGTATGCTTCAGGGTTGTATCTTTTCTCCATACCTTTTCAATCTGTATGCTGAGCAAATAATTCAAGAAGCTGGACTTTATGAAGAAGAATGTGGCATTAGGATATGAGGAAGACTCATGAACAATCTGTTACATAGTTGACACAACTTTGCTTGCTAAAAGTGACGAGGACTTGAACTATTGGCTGCATAATATCAAAGATTACAGCCTTATTTATGTATTGCATCGCTACCTCAAGAAAACAAAAATTCTAACCATTGGATCAATAAGACAATATTATGATAGATGAAGAAAAGATTGAAGTTGCCAATGATTTTTTTTTCTTGGTTGAAGCCAACACTCTTGGTACTAGCAGTCAGAAGATCAGGAGATTTATTGCATTGGACAAGTCCTTTGTCATGGATGTTTCCAAATTACTGAGGAGAATTGATGTCAGTTTGAGGACTAAAGTGTGTCTGATTCAGATCATGTTCTTTTCAACCACTTGCTATTCATATGAGAGCTGGACAATGAATAAGGGTGAGAGAAGAAGAATTGATGCCTTTGAACTCTGATGTTGGAGAAGAGTACTCAATATCCCATGGACTGCCAAATGAACTAACTAATATGTCTTGGGAAAAGTCTAGCAAGAATGCGATTTGGATGCAGAGATGATGAAGTTTCATCTCATATATTTTGAGCACATTTCTAGGACAGGTTATTTCTTGGGAAAGCGGAGGGTCAGTGAAAAGGAAGAACACCATGAGATAGATTGGCAATGAGAACAAAAATGAACTCCAGTATTTCAGAGATTATGAGCATGGCACAGACTATAAGAGGGTTCAGATCTGTTTTTCTAGGTTTGATCTGAGTTGTAGTTTACTCAAGAGACCATAATCTAAAATATCTAGTATTCACTTCCACCATATATCTTAATACCAGTAGATGGAAGAACCATTAATATCTACAAAGTTAAATGAACATATAAACTTTAACACATAAATTTTCTTCTTCTCCATCTTTACATATCATCCTTAACTATCTTCCATTCATAAGCATATAGCTTTGTGCCTCTGCTTTTCGTGTCAGGCCAAAAATGGCTTTCCAGTTATTCTTCCCTTTTGCAGCAACAAAAGTAACTGTTTTAGCTGAATTGTGAAATGTTAACTTTTCAATGAACACTAGACCTGTGAATATGGTTCTGTGAGATCAGTGTAGTCAATACAATGGATTTTGGGTGGCTTTGTGGGAAGAAGTTGCACTTCCAATCCAAAGGCATGCAATTTGAATCCACTAGCTGCTTCACAGAAGAAAAATGGGAAATTTTGTCCTGTGCAATTTACTCTGTGAAAAAATTCTTTAGAGTCATCTATGAGTTGATTCTGACTCGATGGTACATAAAAATAGTAACAACAGCAACAGCAGTAAGATTAATATTGGAATTTGTAGAAAAAGGTGCACTAGTGTGTGTGGGTGACCATGTCTGACATTATAGGAATTGAGTTTGTACTGTGGATGTTGTTGGTTGGGCCAGCTCCCCTTCAGGGAGTAGAGGTCACATATGGCCCTTTTCATGCTTCATACATGCATTTTACAGTTAGTTTTAGGAGTGGCTTAAGAAAAACTGACTAATTTCATAGAGTACTTTATACATGCCTTATTCTAACTCCTATGAAGAAAGTAAAATTAGATGGCTAAGAAAGCCATTTTGAACAGTAAACTCTCGCCACCACAATATTTGAACTGAGGACTCTTGACAGCATAGTGATCAAGCATGTAACTAACAGAAAGATTGCCATTTTATACCCATCAACCACTGCATGGAATAAACATGTAGCATTCAGCTACTGTAAAAATGTATTTCCTTGGAAAGTCTATGAGGCAGTTCTACTCAGTTCTATAGGTCATGAAACAACTATAGGTTTTTTAGTTCTATAGGTTGTATAGGTCATATAGTTCTATAGGTTCTATAAGTTCTATAGGTCATCAACAACTTGTTGGCAGTGGGTTTGGTTTTGATGTGTGAACAAAAGGAAACCAAAATATAACATTAAAGTAGGTTTTTCCATAATTCTTTCCTCAGGAGTTTACATACAATGGGGGGGGAATTGAGTAATAATAGGATGAGTGTTTAAGAGGAACTATTGAGAAAAAGACTCAAAGGCAGAACTTAAAGAAGCAGGTGAGAATATTTTTGACTCTTGAAGTATTGTAATTTTTAAAGTTGGTACCCGTGTGAAATGTCATTGTTTGAACTGTTTGAAGACTCTTAATAGAAAAAAAAATCCTAGAGACAAGATAACTATATCCTCCAAGTTACAAAGAGAAAGTTGATGTCTCATGGCAAAACTAAAGAACTTTAATGAAATAAGATTTTTTAAATGAGATTCATTTTTGTCTAAAAAAACCCAACTGACTGACCAACCAACCAACCAACCAAACAACCAAACAACTAAGCAACTGAACTAACAACCACAACAAAAACCACAAGAAGGAAATAAATGATGGTAAGAGAATAATTAGACTTTTGGTTACCTCTAGAGACAGACTATGAGGAATATATGGATTATTTAAAAGAAAATAATAAATTGACAATCTTGAGTGAAAAAGAAGTCAAAGAAATCAGCTTGAAATGACAATAATGAATATGCAATTTTACAAGCCTGTCACCATCATCTTAAGTTTTATTTGTCTAAATCCTTCAGTCTTTTAATCAGTGTTACTGAATTGTACACATAGAAATTGAGATGGCATATGTTTTGTTATGTGCCTTTTTTACCAGAATAAAATAAACATTAAAAAAATCCTTTTATTCTTCAGAGAATTATAATATTCTTAATGAGTATCATGGTATTCAAATTTATTGTTGATGTATTAAAACTGCTAATCTCTAATGCCAAATATGATTTGAAAATCCATGAGAACATTATTCATGAGATCTTTCTTAAAATCACCAGTAATCTAAAAACTCTCTTCATTGCCATCTTCATCTCTTTGTTCCTGAATGTGTAGATGACTGGATTTAGAAAAGGAGTGAGAACTGCATCAGAGAGAGCAAGAAACTTATCCATTCTGGAACTGGGATTTGGCCACGTGTAGATAAAGACAGTGGGTCCGAAGAAAAAAAATACCACCGTGATATGAGCTGACAGGGTGGAGAGGGCTTTGGATGAACCATTAGATGAATGTTTCCAAACAGTAAGCAGGATGAAAACATAGAAGATAAGAAGAATAAGAAAAGATCCAACACAAAGGAATCCACTGTTTACAGTGACCATGAATTGTAGTTTATAGGTATCTCTGCAGGCTAGTTGGAGGAGCTTGGGTAGGTCGCAGTAAAAGCTGTCTAATACATTAGGACCACAGAAGGGTAAGTTAATGATAAATGCCAGTTGGAACAGGGAATGCATAATACCAAGGGCCCAGGCAACAAACAGGAAAAAAATGCACATTCGTGGACTCATAATGGTCAGATAGTGAAGAGGTTTACATATGGCGACATATCTGTCAAAAGCCATGGCTATGAGTAGCACCATCTCCACACCACCAACAACATGGATGAAGAAGATCTGGGTAAAGCAACCACCAAAAGAGATGACTTTGTGCTTTTTAAAAAGGTCATAAATCATCTTGGGGGAAGCAGTGGAGCAGGCCCCCAAGTCAATGAAGGAGAGATTGGCCAGTAGGAAATACATGGGGGAATGTAAATGAGGGTCAGTGGTCACAGAAAAGACAATGAGGATGTTTCCGGCAACGCTTGCCACATAGAACACAGACGAGAACACCAGGAGAAGCAGTCGGATCTCCCATGTGTTGGTGAGTCCCAGGAACACAAATTCAGACACCACGGAGTGATTCCCTCCCTCCATTGATCCAGAAAACGGTGCTGTAACTGAAAGGATGAGAATTTAAAAAATGAGGAGGGAATTTTGATTATTAGGTATGAGATATAATGATTTATGAGAAAGCACTTTCATTATAAATGAGAATTACCTGGTCCTCCAAGGTTTCACACTTGTTCAGTGATAATGATATTGATAATGGTGATGATGATGATGGTAGCAGCAACAATTATGACACAAGCACAGATCAAGAGCACACATGGTAATTAACTATCAGAATAATCTCTTGTAGATTAAAATAATAATAGACAAGAACAGAAGTTTCACAGTTATCTGTAGGAAGAAAGAAAAATATGCTGTTAGGTTTTTGCTGTTAGTCACAGAGAATGGCCCAAATCTGTAGTAGAGTGCTTGAATGAAAAGACCTCACAGGGATATGGTGCAGTCTGTGAAAAACTTATAATATGCACCTTATTTGCACAAAATATGGTAGATAGGTATGTTGTTGTTGTTATGTGCTGTCACATCAGAACTGACTCATAGCTGACTGTCCAGTGGATTTTCAAAAGCAGTAAATTGCTTGTGAGGAGATTGTACACCCTATTCCTGCTGAGTAAGTGGTGGATTTGAACCATGAGTCTTTAGGTGGTAGCACAACTCTTTACCACTAAGCCAGCTGTGCTCAGCTATCAGTAGGTAGATAGAAATAGATACATTTAATTGCCCCCAAAGATAAACTAGAGGTTTTTTAATCCTCTTTGACCTTTTACCTCTCCAATACATTCTGTTTCCCTTTTATGCTCAATTTTTTATATAATACACATCACATCACTTATACTCATAAAGTAGAGCTGAAGAAGAGATACTCCTGAGAATGAAAACTGTGAAACATCTGAAACAGAGTTCGATTAAGACTGACCTCTGGGGAAGCAAAACTAAAAATGTATGCATATTGAGGGTCAATGAAAAAAAATGGGGTACAAGAAATGTGAGACTAGGTTAGAGTTGTAGCAAGAGAGGAAAGCATTCAGCTTTTTGAAAGAGAATGATTATTCTGTTATGTTTGACCAGGTGGACTGCTTTTTTACATAACCATTTCTTACAAGACTTGCTAAAAATTAGCCACCCTCCATCAGGTTTCTGACGTAGCTCCAGTGGCCCAGTTAGTAAAGAGTTGATCCAAAGACAGGCAATTTGAATCCCTCAACAACTCCTTGGCAGAAATACGGACAATCTTCTCCCATGTGATTTAGTGCTTCTGAGAAAACTCACTGGTGGAGCAAGCTCCAATATGAAGGCAGTATGTGTTTGTGAGAGATCCTGTTTCTGAAGCTGATTTTTAACGGGAGAGGACTGTTATTTTTTCTCCTGTGAAGTGGCTGGTCAATTTCAACTGTGACCCTTTGGGTAACAGTACAATATGCAATGAACTATAACATCACTACTCCAAAGTTACCATTTATGTTTAAATATTTAGTGTCTACATCTGGACCTGTAAGACTTTCCCCCAACTTTTAGATATTTGGAATATTTGGAATTTCATCCTTGTTCTTGCTTAGTTGGTGTTGTTAGATACTATAGAATTGACTGATCATAGCAACTGTCTGTACAAAAGATTGAAACCCTATTCAGTCTTTTGCAATCCTTACTATCTCCACTCTGCTGCAGCTCATTGTTGTAGCCATTGTGTCAATCCATCTTTCTGAGAGTCTTCCACTCTTTGCTGACTCTCCACCTTTCCAAGCATAATACCTTTTTCCAAGGACTGGACCCTCCTGACAACATGCCCAAAGTATCAAAGATGAAGTCTCATAAACTTTGCTTCTTAAAAATGTACTGTCTGCACTGCCTCCAAGACAGATTTGCTTGTCTCTTTGGCAGTTCATGGCATATACAATTATTGTTGTGTTGTTATTAAATTGAATATTCAATATCCATTTTATTTACTACCCATGGGATATTCAATTTACTTTGCCAAAACCACGATTCAAAGACATCAATTCTTTGATATTTCTTATTTACTATCTTCATGCTTTCATATGCATATTTTGTTGTTGTTATGTGTTATCGAATCAGAACCAACCCTTACGAAACAATGGAAAATATAATGAATTGGATTAGGCTTTACTTAGTTCTTTAAATAACATCCTTCCTCTTTAGTACATGCATACTTCCATAACTACACTGAATGTGGAATACCCCTGCAAACAACTTTTACTTGTTCACACATAATAAGGTGTTTATAGTTAACACTTAGAAACATTAATATATTGTGTTTGTATTTATCAGGATGTCAACCTCACTTATCTATTCCTTCTTTTGCTCAGAAGCATTCATAACATTTTATTTGAGGCTTCCCTTAGTTTGATGCTATTCTTCAAATATCAACCTGTACTGGTGATTTTATATTATCATGTTTACTTTGTCTAAAATCAAAGTACATATTGTATCTCCAAGATCATCATATATTTAAGCTTTTGCAGAACTATAAATAAAACACAATGTATATGAATTTTGTATGCAAACCAATGTAATTTTTAAAAACCCTGTGACATAAAAAAGAATGTCAAACTTTAGTAAATAATATTTAACATTGACAATACACAGCTAAAAGTGGTACTAGAGGGTTATTGTTGTTGCTGTAAGGTGCTGTCAAGTTATCTACTGCTTATTGTTGTTGTTATGTACCACTGAGTCAACTCTTGACTCATAGCTATTCTGTGTATTTGAACACTGTTCTATCTTGAGCCAGTTTCATCTCTGACACACCTTCCTCCGTTAACCCAGTCACTGAGTCAATGCATTTCATCCAAGTTCTTCCTCTCTTCTTCTGTCTCTCTACCTTTAAAGCATGATGCCCCTCTCCAAGGACTGGTCCCTCTTCGCAACATGCCCAAAGTATGTCAGATGGAACTTCAAAATTCTTGCTTCCAGGAAGCATCCTGGTTTCAGCCTCTCCAGGACTGTTTGTTCTCTAAGCAGCCCATAGTATATTCACTACTCTTCTCTAGTGCCACAACTCATAGGCATAAATTCTCTTTCTATGATCCCTATTTTTCTTTTATCATTCTTAGTAATTTCCCAGCTCTATGATACATAGCAAGTAATCATGAAGACCATGGCCTGCATCAGGTATACCCCTCAGCCTCTAGCAAGACATTTGCTTATAGTGACCTTATAAACAATGGATCCTAATCCTACCCAGAAATATCAACCTGCAAATCTACATCCAGTTTTCAACTACTTCATGAAATTTGCGCAGTAACTATCAGAATAGAAAAGAATAGGAAAAAGAGAAAGTAGGAATGAAAGAAAGAAATTAGAAGAGAAGAAAATTGGAACACATAAATACAATGATACAGATGTAAATCACGGCATGAATTATAAGTGTTACTACGATTTAAGGTGACAGGAAGTTTGGTGCATTGGAAGAAAAGTTGAGAGACCTGCTTCTGAGAGGTCTCAGCCTTGGCAAAACCCTATGGAATTTTACTCTATGAACTGAATCTATTCAACGGCACCTGACATGAACATGATTTGGGAAACCTAACATTTATGTAGAGTCATTGGGTGATGCAAATAATGAACATGTATAGCTGGTAACCAAAAATAAAGGACTGAGTGTTCCCAAAGTTGCTTTGATTTTAAAAAAAAAAACACAACTAGTCTTCTAAAAAAATATCAGCCATTGGAAATGCCATCAGCATAATCTTATTCTGATACATGTGAAAATGTCATAAGTCAGAATCTGTTTGACAGCAGTTGACTAGCATATATTAAAGAAGAGAACTATATACACTTAATAACAGACTTCAGACAAATGGAGTCATCCATGGAGCATGTTTCTGTACGCTCTACTATCCCAGAAGAATTCATTGCTTAGTGAATGGCTGCTACTGACGTTCATACCAGACTGCTGTTGATTATCTTCGAGTCGAGCACGACTCATAACGACCCTATGAACAAAAGGCCTAAATCCCCTCTAGAACTATCGAAATTTATCAAAGTTCATAGAGTTTCCAGAGGCACGTTGTTTAGAAAGCAGATTTTTAGAAAGTTTAATTAATCTATTCTTTCCTGTATATTTCTTTTGTGTATTTTTGGCTATGTTTGCAAGCCTGTTTATGCTATATTGTTGTTGTTGATTGCCTTCAAGTTGAACATGACTCATAGTGACCCCCTATGAACAAGAAGCCTAAAGCCCCTCTACAACTATCAACATTTATCAAAGTTCACAGAGTGTCCAGAGGCATGTTGTTTAGGAAGTGAATGTCACTCCTGCTTTCAAACCCGTCATAGTATCATACCAAATGGACTTCCAAAAAATCACTTCTTTGGTGTGAGTTTTTAATATTTTAAAATCCAAAAACCATTTGAAAATTTGGACCACTGTCTTTATGAAAACCTTAAAAACCACAAAGTTTGATAGATTGCCTTTTGATACTTTACAACAGCTATAAGTAGCTTTGATTTGAAGGTTATTGAATGTGGGAAGAGTTACATTGCTTCCTTAAATCTCAGTTTCCTTAGTTGTAAATGGACGTAATAATACCTCCCTTGAAGAGTGTAGTAAGGAGTAGACAATAGGATATATTTAATTAACATAGTGGAAACCATCACATATTGAATGCATGCACACATATTTATGTTCTACTTTCCATACCTGCGTAAATATATCCAAATTCTGAATCCATCACTATGAAGCTATCAATTGGACCTATAGAGGCATTCAGTAGTTTGAAAGGTTTCCTTATGAATAATTTTGCTCCCAAGCATTGCTCTATAAGATGTTTTTACTCACACAAAAATAAGTCAGAATATGTCACTCTATCAAGCATCTTATTTTCCTAGGCAAAGCCACAGACAAATTTTCATACACACTATTTTAAAGCCTTACATGACCACCTCAGATAACATAGATAATTTGAATCTACATAACGAAAAAGGTATTTAATTTAGTTTCCAAAGACTGTCTTCAGTCAGATAAATATCTGCATAAACTTCCAAAGAAAGTGAAGGCAAACCTG